TTCTGGGAGAGGCTGAAATTGTAAATATCAGTTTGGTGATGTGAGGCTTACCATAAGCAATTCAATTTGGGGTCCATTATCTTGTCTTTTATAGGGAGATTGGGGGTTAAAAAATTCTGGCTTTGAGTCTGCTTTTAACTACAACTCTGGATTACCACTGTAGTTGCCAGTATCTCCTATCTAAAACTGCCACAGTAACCTCCTGACTCACTTGCCTGAGACTATTCTGATTCATCTCCACCTCTTTCTACACATTGAAGTTTAAAGATCTTTACAAATACTCATCAGAGTGCCCACTCCATCCCTGTCTTGATTTTTTCAACAACTTTCCATTACTCTTAGCTTAAAGGTCAAAAGGCCAATCTATCCAGACTCCACTTACACATTCCTCCTCTCTCTCTGAACACCAGTCACACAGCCAAGACTTTCTAAAGGAGCTGGGCTGCCACCAGGGGGTGGCCCTTGTCCTAGGCAGCTCTTTCCCTTCCTCTATTCAGTTAATTCAGTTCACCTGATTCTTCAGATTGACTAATTTCCCCCATTTCTTTTTTTCTTTTTAAAGATTTATTTATTTATGCATACAAGAACTGGGGTACAGACGAGAGGTGTGGGGATGAGAGGATTCACCAGAGACAAAGTGGGGAACAGAGCAGGTAGATTGACTGAAACACACTGCTGAAAGGAAGTGGGCAAGACAGGAAAGGTCTGCCACGCCATGTGGGTAGCTCCCTGGCCAGGGATCGAATTTGTGCTGCAGAGCCTGCTGATCGCTATAGTGCTACGTTTTAACCACTGCGCCACCAGGAAGGGCCCCAAATTTCCCCCATTTCTAATGACTTCAAAATCATTACTACAGGCTATCATATGTTCTCCTTCTTTTCAAGTATCATGGTTGAATAGGCTACGTTTGTAATGCAAATAAATAAATAGAATGCATGTTAAAATGTAAAAAAGCATTTGCTTATCTTATTAGCTATTGGTATTATTTGCTTAATGCCTTCTTCCGAACAGTCCAGAAACCTATGAATGCCGGTCCCTGATCTGTTTTTTTTTTTTCATCACTGTCACTCCCATGCCAAGCATGTAGTAGACACCCATACTCTTTTGCCCATAAATGAATGACATTTGATTATAAATATTTTTTTGGATTCAGGATAGGTGGAATCTTAGACATTGGCATAACACTTTATTTTATTTTTTTAAGATTTATTTATTTATACAAGCACTGGGTACAGTCAGAAGCATGGGAGGGTGAGAGAATTCACCAGAGCCAGAGTGGGGAACAGAACAGGCAGATTGACGAAATACACTGCTGAGGGGAGCAAGCAGGGGGGCAGGAGAGGTCTGCACGCCCTGTGGGACCCTTGCAGGCCGGCCGGGGATCAAACCGGTGCTGCAGAGGCTGCGGGCAGCTTCGCAACCCAGTGTTCAACCGCTGCGCCACCGGGGAGGCCCTGGCATAACACTTTAAAAAGTAATAGTTTTCTAGACCTCCCTGGTGGCCCAAGGGGTTAAGACACAACCTATGAAGGGCCTCCCCTGGTGGCCCAGTGGTTGAGCAATGGGCTACGAAGCTGCCCGCAGCCTCTACAGCACCGGTTCGATCCCCCGCCAATGGCGAGGGTCCCACATGGTGTGCAGACCTCTCCTGCCGCCCACTGCTCCCCTCAGCAGTGTCCTCTGTCTGCCTGCTCTGCTCCCCGCTCTTCTCTGGTGAATTCTCTCACCCTCCAGTGCTTCTGACTGTACCCAGTGCTTGTATAAATAAGTAAATAAATCTTAAAAAAAAAAAAAGGTGCAATTTAAAAAAAAAAACACAACCTATGAAGCTGTCCTCAGCTACTGCAGTATTAGTTTGATCCCTGGCTGGGAAGCTACCCACCTGGTGCAGCAGACCTCTCCTGACTCGCCCGCTGCTTCCCTCAGCAGTGTACTTACCTCAGTCTGCCTGTTCTGCTCCCCACTCTGTCTCTGGTGAATCCTCTCACCCTGCACACCACTGGCCTATACCCCAGTTCTTATATGCATAAAATAAATAAATCTTTTTTTAAAAAAAAAAATAGTTTTCTTTTGACCACTAAACATTTGTAACAAATTTTACACATAAACCTGTGTTCAGGGCCTCCCTGGTGGCGCAGCGGGTGAGCGCTGGGTTGCGAAGCTGCCCGCAGCCTCTGCAGTGCTGGTTCGATCCCCGGCTGCTCCCCGGCTACCGGAGGAGGGTCCCACATGGCGCGCAGACCTCTGCTGCCGCACGCTGCTCCCCTCAGCAGTGTACTTCGGTCCTTCTGCCTGCTCTGCTCCCCGCTCTGGCTCTGGTGAATTCTCTCACCCTCCTGCGTTTCTGACTGTACCCAGTGCTTGTATAAATAAAAACAAAACAAAACAAAACCTGTGTTCATTATTTCTCTAAAAGCTACAATAAACTTAGTTATTTCTATTTTATATTTGAGAAACTAAAGCACAAATATATCATACTTTGCCCAAGGTTGCTTACAAATTATAACTCCAACCAGTCCTACAGAAAAGATATAGCTTTTGTTTCATTCAAGAACACAGTATTATTTCAATTAAGCTGAGATATGTTAAATTAAAATGTACTGATTCCTTTATTTATTTATCTTTTAGCATAGAAGAACTGGGGTGTGAAGTAGAGGTATGGGGCGCCATGAAAGGATTCACCAGACAGCGTGGGGAGCCAAACAAGCATATCTACTGAAATACACCGCTGAAGGAGCAGCAGGACAGACAGGAGGGGTCTGCTACACCATATTTGGGTTAGCTCCCTGGCTGGGGATCAAACTCAGGCCGTTGTGGTGAGCCTTCACAGTGGTAGTGTCAGGGGGAAAAGGATTGTCCTAAAGCTAATTCCATACAGGCTTTGTGGACTCCACCCCCACCCCAGGCCAAAGCCAAAGACACTGGGAACTCCAAATCCCACCCTTTCAATATCAGGGCTGTCCTATAACAGTAGCCCTGAGACTTTAACCCCTAGGCCACCAGGGAGACACCCTAATTCTGTTTTTACATAGGGCATTATACATAGTTAACTCATTTTTTTGAATGGTCATGAAATTCTTTTAGAATTGTGTCCCCCCAAACGGTGGTAGGTGTAAGAATTTCAAAATCATTATTCCGACACACACTCTATCTACTTATATACAAATTACAGATTGCTTCTTGCCCAGGATTAGATATTGCAAAATCTGGGTTTGTACTTAATTTAGAATTCAGCAATGTCACTTCCAATTACACTGGGATAAAAAAGAAGATTCAATTAAGTACATTACGCATTCCTTAACTAGTAAGTCTTGACTGGTTGGCTGTAAACCAGGGGGAAAGATACCGTCCATCAATACCCAATTCCAGGCCCCAGACAATCACGATTCTAAATACCTGCTCTCCCCTTTGCTTCTCTGCAGCTTGTTCAGTCCACATGTCATTACTCCTAAGTCCCCATTTACTTACTTCCTATCTCCAGGTACTTCTAATTCGTGAGCAGATTTTTACCTTCATTTTAGGTAAGAATCATATCATTTTAGGGCAATGAGATGCTGGCAAAACAAACAAAAAAGGAACAAAACAGATTTTGTAATCTGACAAATGAAGATGTGGCTCCCATTTAATTATAGGAAACGCCTTTGGTTCACTCCTCTCATCTGGACAGCTTGACCATAAGGAGTTAACCTGGGAAGGTGAATTTCAAACTATCCGTGGAGAGAATCTTGACTTTGCTCGGGAGTCTGTAGGTAAGAGTTTCCAGGAGTAGAACCGGGCTCAGGACTTACTGTACCACCAAGCAAGTCATCAACGCAATTTTATTCATACCTTTGTGATCTCTAAAATAGAGAATGGGGTGTGTGCGAGTCTCGGCTCCACTACGCAGCTTCCCTCACCGCGTTGAGGCGGCGCTGCCAGGGGCGCACAGCCGGCAGGAAGCCGCTTGCTCTCCGCACGCAGCCTGCGCACCTGCGGTGCCTACCTGCAAGGGCCCTGGGCTCTGCAAATAAGGCTGGCGGGGTCTGCAAGCTGCGCCAGGACTCAGCTCTGCTCTCAGTCAGAAAATTCACAAACATGGGTGGATAACAAAAAAAGATCGTATTGGAACAGTGGGGATCAGCAATTTTTCACAGGAAGCTTGGAGATGTTTACTGTCATCCGCTTGAAATTAGGAAAAAATTGAGCAAACAACAGGAGTATGGTGCTTTGGAAAATGGGTACTCTGCTAGTGAACTCTATTCTTTAGCTGAAGTAACTGAAATTAATGAAGCTCTTGCAGAAAATACAGGTCTTGTCAACAGATCTTGTTATGAAGATATTGTCTGATCAAGAGTAACCCTTTAGCACTAGATGAGCTAATGAGTGAAGAAGCAAATACGAACTACGTAAAATCTGTTGAGTGAAAATGGAACTCCTAAATAATATGAGCAAAAACAAATGGAGAATAATAAAATTAGTGATTGTGAACTCTCGAACCTAGAATTTGGCACGTAAGAGATACTTAAAGAACATGACAAAAGTATTATTAGTTGTTGACAGCTGAGAAGGTGCTTTTTAGTAGAGGTGGAAAGCTGGAGTTTGAATTGGCGGAGTAACTTGCTTAAGAAATGGACTGAAGGTGATACATGCAAAAAGTTTCCCTTTTTCGAGCCACCGGTTTGGCCCCAGGTTTCTATTGTTTCCACAAATCCGATCATTAAATCCCTTCACACATCTCATTCAGATGTCTCTAGCAACATTTTTTTTTTTCCCCGCTTGGAAATTTTCCGAAGGCATTATCAATTTCCCAATGTCTTGTGAACCACACCGTACATGATTAAGTTAAAAAGAAGCAGAAATGGTATCACTAATATATCCATCAATACAAAAGTCACCTCCTGAATAAGATAGTAGACAATTTTACATTCACGAATGGGGGGGGGAGGAGACAAAGAAAAGTGTTTTTGGTGGCAGGAAGTGGGAGGAGACTTTTAACAGCAGTATTGGGCTAGGGCCATTTCAGAACTCCTAAGTTTATATCAACCTCAACTTCTAGAGTATGGAGAATTCAAAAGGCAAAGAGGTAAATATTGGGGTATGATTTAATAGCATAAAATGCAATTTTAGCATGTTTGTTCTCTGTCTTTGTGAGTCTTCGCATGTTTCTCTGCCTCAGCACTTGTAATCCTTACATTGAGGAGAAAAGAATGTGCCTTAGAATTTCTTCCTTTATATTTAGAAAAAGGTAGTCTTGAAAATGAATGCAGCCCGGTATTTTGAAGTGAGGAGTCAGTAAGAAATAAGGTTTCTTGTTATGGTTTTAAAGAGATGATTTATCCTGCTTGCACCACAAGCAGAATAAAGCATCTGTAGGGAAATGCTTGCAGGAGTAAAGGGGAGATGAGGAAAGACTTTGGGAATAGGAAATTGAGCTAAGGTTGGGAAAGAAGGTCCTAAAACACAGGTGCTGGGTCTGGACTTGTCTTCTTTTCCCTGGGGTCATTAAGAGCGAAAAATAATCAGAAATCAGATATGTGGACAAGTACTGCATACAGAATCTAAAGGTGGAGAGGCTTTGAGACTTGTTCCAGAAGTGAAATATGAGTGTCCGCAGTGTTACATTACAAGAATTTGTCATTTTTGCCCTGTTAATTATAAGACTTTGAGACCCTAAGTGAGGACTTTGTGTCAGGGCAAATGTAAAATTTGAATACTAATGTAAAGCTGCTTTGGAAATGTAAAAATGTCATACAATTGTTAATTTGTTGGTACTCCCACCTTGGGGGAAGTAGAAAGGATTTATTTTGGGAGCAAAAAAAGTTTATTTGGATTTAATTTCTATCTAATATGCTTACCTGCTTCCCTTAGTTATGTAACCTTTTAGCCTCTACTTCTGCATCTTAAAAACAAAGTTAAAAAAAAAAAGGTCACCATGTTTATTGAGTCCATGTTGAAAGGTAAAGTTTTGCGAAGTTTACAGTGAAATGGAGTAACAGGTATTAATCAAATCACATAAGCAAAGGTAATTTGCAATTGGCAGGAGGTAGTAATAATGAAATGTTGTAAATTTGACTCAGTCTATTAGACTAGAAAAATTTTTCAGATGAACTAATACATGAAAGGAGATTTTGAAAGAGGAATAAGATTTAAGATTTTTAAATATCAATAGATGTGGGTGGGTGTGGGATATAGGGTGGAGCTAAGTGATAACCCTTCAGGCAAGTAGATAAGTTGGAAAGGAATTCTGCTACTGGAACTTGGGGCAATGGAGAGCAATTAAGAGAAGAAACATTGTAGGTTGTATAAAGACAATTTTCATGCCAAGAACAATTCCTTGAATGGGTGTATAGCATCTCTTTGGCAATAATATGGAAACACGTTTATTTGAAAGAGGTAAAGAATGAAGGAATGGGGAAATTTGGGGACAAATAGGTGATTTAAGTTTTCCCAAAAGCAGCTTATTCTACTTTTTTGTAAAATTTGGTTTACATTTTTCTCAATGTATTTAAATATTTATTTAAAAGATTCAAGATCTTTAAGCCAATTATCTCAAACGATACAATCATACCCTACCCACCAGTTTTTCTGCTTTATGTAATTGTGTGATCATATTTTTGTTTGGATCCATATTTCCTGTCCTGTACTTTCAAATTGGCCTTGCTTCCCTATCTTATAAATGAAACTTAGAGTTAAGATTGTGTCCCGAGGAGAATCCGTATCACCAGTGTGGAGTTCAATGACTATCTTGGTGCTTTGCCTGTGGGTTTAAGATCTTAATAGTCAGTGGTGTTTATGGCGGGTGGACATCATAGGAATGACTGACTGGTTCTTCTGTCTGCAGTGGAATTCCACAAAGAAGTTGGGGGAAGAAAATGTTACTTTCCAATTCAAAACCGTGTCCATAGAGGAACAGAGAACTTCTGGTGAAAGTATATCAACTATGAAAAGAATAACCTCAACAAAGGCGACCAAACGAAAAAGAAGTATGAAAGAGGACAAAAGTAAGAGGTTCTATACACTCGTGTGCTTACACTAGTGCCTAAGAAACCCTGATGGATTTTTCTGAAGGATTTGGGAACAAATTTCCACCCTGTACTTTGTAGGTGCTACATTTCTTTGAAGTCTAGTCTATTTTTTCTTAAAGATTTATTTATGCATAAAAGAACTGGGGTGTAAGCCAGAGGTGCGGGGGAGGGGAAGCAGGTGAGAGGATTCACCAGAGAGAGAGGAGAGCAGCAGGCTAGACAAGAGAGGTCTGCTGTGCTGTGTGGGTTGCTCCTGGCCAGGCTGGGATTGAACTCATTCTGCAGGGGCTAGTAATAGCTTACTTGATAGCTCTGTCTTTAACCCCAGCGCCACCAGGGAGGCCCTTAAGTTTAGTTTAAAGCCCACCTTCCTGAGGCTCTCCTTGAGTCCCCTCTGTTAAAACTTTTCTCTTCCTGTCTCTAAACTCCCATAATATATTTAATTCTGGTAATTATTTTTGCCTTAACTGACTGCTTGGAGTTAGGGATCTCAGTGTAAAATAATTTGGGGACAAGCGGCTTATAAATTTAAAATCCCATTGTTAGAACTCTGTTTCCTGTTTTAAAAAGTAAGGATAATACCTATATTGGCTGATAGGGATCAATTGTAACTTAAATAAAATAATTAGGTAAAAACACCTATGCTATGCCTCATTGGTATTGTGTGTACTCATTAAACCAGAGGGACTAAAATAGCGTAGTTGTGAATGTTCTGGAGTATGATCTGTCTTTCCTATATGTCTTTTCCTGAGGTGAGGTGTAAGTAGCTGGAGACCCCAGTGCAGACATGATGGTGGGTTGACAGAATTATTGGTGGTTGTGTGTGCAATGTTGTTGGTGGTTTTTTATAGTGAAAGGATAAGGCAACTTTTGAGCATTTATAAACACAGGTCTAAAACTAGCAACCCCTTAGAAGTACAATCTCCAGTGGATCCTAGAGCCAGTGAGTTGAACAACTACAAAGGGGCAAGTATGTATGAGTGGTGGGGAATTTTAGGAAGTAAAAACTCAGTTTCAGAAGTATTCAACCCCAGCTATTAGGTTCTGTCTCTTGAGATGATGTGGCCCTTGGCAAAATATTTAGCTGTAAAATCGGGATTGGATTACAAAAACTGAGAGTGTTTGTACTTTTGCTATTTTAAAAAGTAACACAAAAATTTATCACTAATTTTGTCCCATTCTCCTTCAAGCTTCTTGCAAAACCGAGAAAGCACAAGACAATGATAGAGTAAAACCTGAACGGAAGAAGATACCAATTCCTCCACTGCCTTGAAAATCCCACCCATCAATCTGCTTCACCGGGACATTGTGCGGGCCTGGGGTCGGGAACTAAAGCTGAGCACCAAGGGCCAGGTGTGAGCTGGGGTGAGATACTATGGTGCTGGGTGAAGGGGGGGACCCCTTGCTATGATTACTAACTCATTTTTCTCTTGTCTTAGAAATTAGAAGTTTATAAGAGAATCTGTGAATATGCATATCCAAATCAAAAGGTAAGTAATTTATAGAAATTTGGCAGAGTGGAAGACTTAGTTCTCAACCTGATTACCTATTTTAGAATCAAAAAGTGTGGAGAATTGTTTCAGTCCCTCTTTTCCCCCCTATATGCCTCATTCTAAGAAGAACAATATCCCCTCACTTAGCAACTGCAAAGAGAGCAATAAATATTGAGACTGCACTTGTAATTATCACTTTAATCTTTTAAAACCAATTTGTAGGATATTCCCAACACTGCAAAGGAGGCCAGGATCCTGAAGAAATCAGAGCTAAAAGCAGTGCTAAGCAGTGGGAAAATAACTCCGGAAAGTTCTAAGGAAACTAATCCTCCTAAAGTAAATGCTTCTCCTGAGGACAGTGTGCCGGCACCTATCCTCCAAGAATCAACTCTCGAGACAGTTGACACGGTGGTAGTGACAACATCTGCCCCAGATGCTGTGTTTGCCTCCTGGACCAGAATAACAGCCATGGCTGGAAGGATGGAGGAAATACAAGAAGTACAGTCACCACCAGAGTCAAGTGGTAAGTCCAGTCAACAGTAGGAGCTAGATCTGGTCCAGATGAGGACATGAGTTTAAATGTTAACCTGGGATCGCTTTTAGGATATATCAAAATCTTGAAGAGCTGGTGAGTCCTGGGGCCCGTCCCATTCCCCCTTAGTTTCTGATTTAGGACTGAGGTAGGGCTAGGTTCCAAGGCAATGTTAATAGTGAATACCATTGCAATTATTTTGTCATCAGAAGGGGGATAGCAATCTGTTTGGTATCATTTCTTTTCCCCTTTAAGGAATTAAAAGGCTGATTATGTAAAAATCAACTGAGCTTGAGCCTGGGTCTTCTAGCACCTATTACACTCATTAGTAAGTGGAAAGTTGTTAATTAAGGGTAAGTGAATTGGGTAAATGGGTCAATTGATTGGCAGTGGATAGAAACTACTTTTGGTGGTGACCAGCATATATTTTATATAGATATCAAAGTGTAAAGTTGTAATCTGAAACTTAGACCACATTATAAATCAGTGTCACCTCAATTTAAAAATTTATTCAAGCCAGTTTTCAGTTTCTTTGTTGTAAAATAGGTTAATAATTCTATCTACCTCAAATATTTTAAGAATGACAGGGGATACATTTCCAGAACATCATAACCTGGTTTACACAACACAGCGCGCCTACTAAAGAGTTGAGACTATTTGACAAAACCCTTCCCAGACTAGTCTGGTTTGGCATTTCTATTGGAGGAAACCAAAATATGGCTACCCAGAATATGCCTCTTTAACACGAAAATTAAATTTGCGCTAAAGACAAAGTAGCAAACCCAGAAAAAGTTGCCCCGATTGGCTAAAGGCAGGATATAAATTGTCCCTTTGCTGGAGACAGACTCTTAAGCAACCTAGAGATGGCACCAGAAGAATCTGCAAATAAAGCTTATTCCATTAGGTCCTTTCATATATTTTTCCATAGTTTATTGTGCTTGGGAACCTAAAACTGCTTTTCTTTGTTTGTCCTGTTGATTCCTCTACCAATTCTTTGGTCTTTGTGGAAGATGTTATATAACTTAGAATTCTAACCCATCGTCTTGGACTAGTTTTCCTGGCAGCTTCTCTTTGGTGAGTGCTACACTATTTAATAAACTCTAGCTAGTCTGATTTTCATTTTGTCACTGAGCCCCGGCTGAACACCTGAAATGGATAGTTTTGCCTCCTCTGCACTATCAAATACCCACATGCAGCTTTGCCACTTCCAGCTCTAAAGTTTTAACAGGAACAAATTTGCATTATTTACTAAGGGGAGCAGGATAGAATAGGTATAGTTAGGATTCCAGAGCTTCTATATTGGAGCTGTCACTTGAAAAAAAAAGAATCAAAGGTCAAGGTGTGCAGTCTTAAACAGTAGGATTTCGTCACTCTGTTTATAATTAACTCTCTTTCTGTTCCCAGATGTTAGGTGGTGTGTTATTCATGGAAGAAGTCTCCCTGCAGACAGAGAAGGCTGGGTCCGCCTTCAGTTTCATGGGGGACAAGCCTGGGTACCTGAGAAAACAAGGGCAAGTGTGTGCCCTGTTCCTGCTCCCCTCCTGCAATTTTACACCCCCACACCTGGAGGACAATATGTTGTGCCCCAAATGTGTCCAAAGGTAATTACCCGGGCTTTTCCATAAACTAAAAGTGGACACCTGTTTTTCATTTAGGGGGAAAGAGAAGATAACATAATAAGCTTTAGCCCTGTACATCAAATCCAAGTGTCAGTAAAGAGTTTAAAGAAAATCACTACTCAGGTACTTGTATGCATTCCTAGAAAAGAGTGTTTATATGGGCTTAATGCTTATACCTGGAGATCCATAAATCTGAAGAAACATTGTATGTTAGTTATTGTGTTGCTGGTGGACGCACTATACAGATATAATGGCTAGCAAAAGAGCCCTTCCCTTAAGTAGCCTACAGTCTGGGCATGGACGGGTTTTCAACAGGTTAGTAAAACCATGTGATGTGACAGCTGGTGTCAAAGAAGCTTCCTAACTTAAGGGAAGAATTGACTGGGTAGAAAGGAGGTGAGTAAGGACATTTTTCAGATAGGGATCAGTGCTAAGTCTATGAAAGAACTTAGGACAAAGAAGAAATTGCAAGGAGTTTAGTGTGACAGACTATATTTGAAAATAAGCATTGCTTTCCTCACTCATACAATGGACATAATAATGTGTACCTGAAGAGACAGTGAAAATAAAATCAAGTAATGTGGGTGAACTTAGCACTGGTTGGCACACAGCAAACATTCACTTATTCCAGCTAGTGGGATTTAGTCTGCGCAAAGTCATGAAGATAGATACGAGTTCAGTTTTACAGATTTCAAGCAATGCCATTCGTTTGGGTCAAATTACAGTAAACTTTGAATGTTGAAAATTTTAGGGTTTTCCTACTAGCTGATGTTCTTTTCAAAAATTTTATTAGTTATAGGATGATAAATGAAGTGTCATTGTATTCACCAAACAACCAACTTTAGAAGCACAGTTATGAAGAAAACTGAAGCAAGGTCACCAAAAAATGATTTTTTCTATAACTTAAATTCCAAATCAAACTGAAATCAACATATTAAAGAAAGTAGTTGACCTGGGGGAAGGAACCTGATAAATTTGTTCTCTGAATAAACCCTACCAGCTAATTAAGGTTCCTATTTCTAAAATTTATTTTATTTATTTGTGTATACAAGAACTGATATGTAGGCCAGAATTTGGGGGAGCTGGGGTGGTAGTGATACCGAAATTGTCAGGCCTAGTCTCCCAGCCGGGATCGGATTTCAGGCTGCAGGGCAGCGCTGAGCCCCAGCTGCTAGACCCCCACGGGTTGGTGTCTCACAAAGCCGCAGCAGGAACTTCGCAGACGCTCAGGCAAGCAAGCGAGAAGAGGCAGGTTTGTTTAGAAGAAAAAGTTTATTGAGGAGGAAAAGAGCAGAAATAAAGTGGGACTCCCAGGCCAGGGAACCAGGCCTGGGAGGGGCAAGGAAGCCAAAGTGGAATTGTTGTCTCAGGGAATATATACCTTTTTTCCCTCATTATTCTAAAACTTCACCAGTCTCTCTGTGATTGGTTAGTTCTTGGCTGTCTCACTCAATTTGCTACTGAGTGGGGATCTTCACATTCCTTATCTAACAGCTTTCTCTTTTCCCATTTGTTGCATCTTTAAATTTATGGCCCAGTCTTCTGGATGGGCATCCCTGCATTGAAGTTAAACAGCTGCCCTTCTAATGTGACCATAAATTAAACCACTCTCCATTTCTCCAATCTCCGCCTCCCTTTACCACCTGAAGGAAACCCAGGACCAGCATTAACAATGTTGTCCTT